TGAAAAAAGACACAACGGGAGATTTGATAGTAAAGACAAGGATGGTCAAATATGCACAAAAGCTGTATGCCCCCGAGAGACAGAACAATTAACTAGTTGCAGAACTGGTGCAGTTAAAATATATACACATTACATCATTAATGGCTGGCTGCCACCCAGACATCTGACTTTAAATAAGTTGCACCACTTGACGCTGCCTGTTTGACAGAATTCATTAAATAAGAGATGAGGAAACTTTAATTTGATTTTCTTACATCACTGTCACTGTCTCACACTCAGATGTTTCTCACTTACTTTGACTCTATGGAAATGGGAATGTCAACGTGCTCAGCTTAATGCAGAGTAAAAGTGTTAAAAACACGAGTAATTGTACTTTAAACTTTCACATTTCAGAGATAAATATTGTAGTTTTTGCTCACGGACTATAATTTGACAACCTGTTTTGAGATAAAGGTTAATGTTAAAACATGTAAAGTATTATTGAAAGGTTTAATGTCATATCGTATACACAACTACAGTGTATGTAATGAATCTAAAACTTGGGTCACAGGTTCGTCAACAATGCAATTACAAGACATAAATACATATATAAAAACAGTGCAAAATCAGGCGTTAAGTAGTCGTATAGCCTGAGGGATAAAACTGTCTCTGAATATAATTTATATTATTATAGAGATTAAATGATTCCCTTAAAAAGAGAAAGCAAGAAAATAAAAAACATCATTTACACAAAAAAGCTCTCCCCCTTCACTTCATCCATTTCAATGTATTGTCTGGTTTTGATTGGTTTATTTCTGTCTTTGTTTTGTATGTAGCTGATCCTTTGAGTTGAATGTGAATATCTGAAAGCCATGTTGTTTTGTACATGTGAGTTAGGAAAGGAAACAGGTGAGGGCGGGGTCTGTGGTCTTCATTACACGAGCCTAATGCGTCTAATGCACCACCCGGAGGGCACGTAAAGTGACCCAAAACAAACGCACCCACGTTTATGCGTCCACAGGTGCACGCTGATTGCTGGAAAGCTAGCGGTGGTGTGTGGCGGTGAATTCAACATAAACACAGAGACCTTAACCGACACTGAGGACTATTTTGGGAATACATATACAGTCTATGGAATAAACGAGCAGAGGGGCATTTTGTGGAGGACTTCTCTCTCAAAACCATTCAGAAAGGTGAGTCCAAAAACAAAACTAATAACGGATTTAACCAGAGACGTTTTAGAAAAGACATGCAGCACTGAGATCTGTATCTGGTTCACATGTGATTCGTCACGACTCATCTCTGTATAGGAGCGACAGGTGTATTAACTCTAATGGGAGGAGTGAACGAGATCTCAGATTATGACAGATTATTACATCACAAAGAATAGAAATATGAACAGACTTTTCATAAACCACATTTCATGGCATTTTTCAGACGGACAATTCAGGGGGAAAAGTACTTTGTGTCTGATTTGTCTAGCTCTCGCGAGATCTGGCAACACAGCGGGATTTCAGACAACTAACGTTAATGTAAACAAACATATTTAATAATAAAATAACTAATTACAATCATCCTAAGTAGTATAAAGGTTAAACACTTCTAAACTTACTTTCTTTTTATTTGTAGATACTGTTGTTTATTTCACTTGCTGGGTATTTTTACCACAGTCCGTTTTATGTGAAAGCAATTTGTAACTATTTTGAGAAGTGCTATATTAATAATGTTTATTATAATAATTATGATGACACTTCCTGTCTCCTAAACGGGCATGTGCTAAAGTATTTGTATTTGATTTAGGTAACATTACACGTGACACCGCCTGCTTCTAGCTTAACAAATAATAGTCAGGTAAGGATTTGTTGATGTTAGCTTAAAAGTTTGGCACAAGATCCCGAAATGCAAGATCTCGTGTTGTTGAGTTTGACAAATCTGATGTACTGTAACTCTGGATAGGATTGCATCAATGTTGTTGTACTTTAAAAAATGTGCTGCTTTTGTTTGTGGCTGCAGCAGCTGTGGAGTTGATGTTGTTTCTACATGTTTGTTTTGTCTGCTGTTGATTCTACCAGAAGTAGTTATTTGGGTTATTTGTTGTTGCATACGTTGTTTGTTGCACCCTGTCCAGTTGTTTTTATTGTTGGTCGTTTGGTTTAAATGTCTCTTTTCTTGGTGTATAATGGATATCAGTTGTTGCAGAGCGCTGTCTTTAAAGAATACTGTTGATTTGGACCAATGAGGACTCTGATGTGTTATTGCACCTTTTTGTGGCCTAAATATGTTAATTTAACAGTTTTAAAATCATTGTTTTTCAGTACCTCCTTTCCTTTTTTAAATGTAACGCAGCGACTTCACCTCAGTGCTTGTTTTAAACTTCCATATCAATATTGGGATCAGCTTTGAAAACCCAGGATGAGTTATTATGTAATAAATGTCATGCGTTTTTTGTGTTATGAAGTTATGTCACCCTATGATCCCACTATTTCTAAAAGTGATGTTTTATGTAGAGGCAGTCCACCCTCCCTGACACAACGACTCGAGCGACATCATCAAATATGAACACGCTTTCAAGAACTACAGTTAATCTTCAGGAAGAGAAAGCAGCAGCGGTGTTGTCTTTTAAAAAGAGAGGTGATGTTAAGGATATCTATGCCATGTTAGGATATGACGATACTCAAATGATCCCGGTTTCTAGTCACATATCACTATAATGATATCAAATCGGTACATTGTCCAACCCTAGTTCACACAACTAGACATTTATATGATTGCAATGATTGCTTTGAAATGGTTGAAACACCAACGATAGACAATTTAGCCTTCTACACTTAGGTTTGGGTGTAATTACTGTAAACAGTTGACTTTGACCAACGTGAGGCATCCATGTTTGTGGGTTTCTGGGCCTTTCCTTTTTATTAAAGGTGGGGTAGGTACGTTTGAGAAACCGGCTCGAGATACACTTGTTATATTCCATGGAATGCTCTTAACGTCCCGATAGCAATGAATATCTTTTAAGTGCTTTGACAACAAATCCATAACAAAATTAATCTGTGGAAGCCGTGACGCTGTAAAAAGCTCGACCAATCATCTGAGCCGGCTAAAGTAACTGGATGGCCTACCTGCCTGTCAGCCTTCCATCTGTGCACAAACTTATCTCGTGCTCTCATTGGTCATGTGCGCGTTCGTGTGTGTTGGAGGAGGGGCTCTGTGAGGAAGTGGCAGATTTGTCCCGGCTGTGTATTTTCAAATTCTAGCGCACTCGAGCTGCTTTCTCCAAAATTACCTACCCCACATACCCAATATGAAGAGCTTTCTGAGAAGTGTCCCAGTCTTAAATGTGACTTTCTTGTTGAGTTGAATGCTATGAATGCCTGGAATTGTTATTTACAGCAACTCAGATATCACATGAATGCAGCCCAGCTAAACTATTTCCAGAGGAGGCCTTGCAACATGCTACGAGTTAAGTCATGTTTGCAAGAGAAAAAGTTAATTTTGTTTGCATTTAACAGCAGGTAATGAGCATGCTAACGGGTGCTAATGTGACCACATGGAGCTCTGCAGCTTCTCGAACTGGATTGTGCAATAGCCGTGGCAGCTGTGGCTCTTTATCCACCAGCAAAACAAATCAGTTCACACATGAGCTTGGAAATAACAGTGAGTGTTATTAAGTTACAGTTACACTGACCAAAGAAACGCTACAAGCTCCTCTCTCCGACGAGAATAAAAAGATGACTGATTTGTGTAATAATTTCTATACTCAAAGTGTCTTTTATTATCAAATATAAGAAGCATGTCCACCCAAGAGTGGCTGCAATTGATAAGATAATGTTATTTAGTCTGAAACTGAAACATGTCATTGATGAAATGGTAAGTTAAATGGACATAAAGTTCAAATGCAACTATGTTTCTTAGTAAAGTATTTGTTTTAATCTTTTTTCTATCAACACATGCCAACCATTCTCTGGTTCTGCCCTCTCCAAAATGAGTATTTTCTGTTTTTATGTTTTACCTGAATATGTTGGGGTGTTGGACTTTTAGACAAAACAAGACGTTTAAAATGGGGTTGAGCTTAGTTAATTGTGATCATGATTTGATTTAACAGATCACTTAATGCTGGGTAATCGTAGCCTTTAGAGCAACATTAGCTGGGTGATTTCAATGATATAAGGTAATGAGTAATCTGTAGGGACGGTTTTATCAGTAACTTCTCCACACAGGGAGTTTTGATTATCAGCTGACTGACTTTCCCTGTTGTATAATAACCTTAGTGACAGCACATGTGCTTAGGCTAATATAAAAAGATTAGGGTGGCAATAAAAACCGCACAACAGAGCAATGACAAGCCTGTTGTTGTCATGTTATTGCTAAAAGAGCCATTTAATTAAAGTTTCCTCAGGCTGAATGACTCAGGACAGGAAATAGCCTGCTGTAAATGCCCTCAGCTGCTGTTTTTTAAACATCTCCTAATTTCCCTGAACACACACACACACACACACCATGTATACATCACTTCAGGGGACATTACATTGACCTACATGCATTTCCTGGAGACTTATCCTAACCTTAACCATAACCAACACATGCCTAACCCTAACCCTTAACCTTACCATCTCCTAATTTCCCTGAATACACACACACACACACACACACACACACACACACACACACACACACACACACACACACACACACACACACACACACACACACACACACACACACACACACACACACACACACACACACACACACACACACACACACACACACGTCGAACCAGCTACAGATGGCACAAAGCTACAAAATGACACTACAGAAACAAGGATAGGCCTGGAAACTGATGCCACAAACACTCTTACATTTTTTTTTTGGAGCATTGACATAACTATAGGAGGCAGGCAGACTGCATGAATCATTAGTTTGCTATAATGTTACCAACAGCAGTATCCTTGCAGTAAACAATACAAAAAAACACATACAATGACAGTGGTTATTTCCATATATGTTGTGAAGTTACCTACCTTGTTTTGGAGGCCAGGAAAGCGAGTTTTATTAATCCATGAGTGCAGATCTGGATCCCCTCTTTCTCTATACTCGCCACTTTCAAGCTGTGCTCTAAAATATGAAGCTCCATCTTTTACGTCTTCTCATTTGAGGAGCGACTAAAATGTACAAATAACAAAAACCTAAACACTTTCAAATGAGATGCATAAATAAATAAATACACACACGCACACACACACGGCAGGGGAAAAGGTGTATTAAATAGAGAAAGAAAAGCGAGGCAGGGTGGTTTAAAGAAAGCAAAGAGGTAAAAACGGACCTGCTGTCAACCCCTGCAACGGAACCACGCGCACTTCTGGTAGAAGATTTTCAAAATTAAAGCCTCCGACACACAGACGCAGTTAAAGGAACATTTTGTTTTTGTCTACCTAATAAATAGACACCATTATATCTTCTGTGTGATTAATATGTCTTAATTGTTGGTTTTATATTTGGTACTGACTAAAAAATAAGTTTGCAACATCTGAATTCATGAGATGTATACGTAGGTGGATTTTGTTATCATTAGAGAGGCTAGCAGTTTCCATCTGCTTCCATTGTTTATGCTAAGCTAACTGCTGGCTACAGCCTCATATTTACCGTACACATATGAGAATGGCATTGATCTTATTGTCTAACTATTGCTTGTTAGAATATATATATAAATAGCAGATTTACCAAATATTTCCATCAAGGACAATGAAGTCTTCTTTAAATATGTATTTTAAACACAAATACCAAGTTCCAGATAATGGGAATATGTTGCTTTGCGATTGTATCTATTTTCTTTTTATTTCAATTGTTTTATGTTATAAAACCTAATTGATTAGTTACAAAAATAAAATAATGAAAGAAGTATCTGTTTTTAAGAGTTTTCAACCAACCTAGCAAGCTGTGTTTGTGGAATCACTCAAGAAAATGTAGTTATTTGGTATTAAAATATATAACAATAGAAGTGACTTAAATACTATAATTGTTTTGTAATTTAATTATTCATTTTAACCTTGCATACAATTGTAAAAACAAGAATTATCTACATGTATATTGAACAAAAACCCACCCTATTATTCATAACATGCTGAGAAAAGTCTAGTTAACCTCATTAACGTGTTTATATTGTTTTTATACCGGTGCTTTTATTGTATGAAATAAAGGTGAAAGCGGAAGTGAGTTGCTCAGCGGTTTCCTGCAGCTTGTCGGCTCAGATCTGGTCCCCATGTTTGCTCTCAGACTGGAATAGTTAGCAGCTGGTCGGACTGAAACAAACAACTTGCCATTCAAACGAAAGGGGCGGGTCTGCAGTGGAGAAGGGCATTCTGGGAAGTGTAGTTTTGTACCGTATTTGTCTGTTCAGGTACGTATACCAAGGTGGAAAGAGAAAGAATAACGAGACTTATAACATGTTATAACATGTTTAAGCAGCCCCAAAGAGAGGCTGACTAAAATAATAAATAACAGAATGAAATAAATAAAAAAGTACATTGTATCAGTGTATATATTTTAAACTCTGAACATATTTGGACTAGATCTAATACAGTATTATAGTATCATAGACATTAGACAATGATCCAACAGTAGTAATGCACATATGTATTATTAGAACAATTATGTGAATGCCCCAGTTGGATGCAAATGGAACACATATTTACTTTAATTACATTATCATTGCACCTTTCTTGATGCAAAGCAGGGTTGTGTTTACATTTAGAAGTGTAAGGAGAAAGGCTCTGAAGGTTGCGTATGAGCTTATTTATCTAGCAATAATTTTCTCATGGTATTATAATATAAAAAGTTACAAAGCTTAAATGAATAACAGCTCTGCCTCCATTTTATTTAAAGTAACTTGGCACAAATGTAATTGTTTTTCGCCAGGTTGCTTATCCATACTAATGGTGAGTCTGCAAATACATTTGGGAGAGCAGCTACTGTAGTTGTCACAGTATAAATAATAGAGATATAGACACATCTAATAACTTTAACTCCAATGTTAACTGCAGCTTTCTGTCAACTCTAACTTGGACTCTATTCTATTGAAGCTTGCAGGTGCATTTTGCTCTAATTTCTTTAGCATCTCATGTTGCCATGGCAGTTGTATTGTAGAAAGTTAGAAAGCTTTGACCTTTTATTTACTGCTTCTACTCCATATTATTTCTAAGTGCTTTGACGTAGGTGAGTGGAGTGTTTCCTGGAAATCCATACAAACGTTTCCCCTCTGGAGAGGACATTTGCATTTACTTCATCCTCTCATTTACTCAGGGTGCCTTTTATAGAAATAGTGTAGGGGCTAAAGCATGTTTTCTTTGCCCCCTTGAGGTTAAACTCACAATAATTGGCATCCTGTTGCGTCTCCGGTGTTTGAGTAAATGAAAGGTTGCGTCCCGCAGTGAGGCCGCACTGGAAACACACGTATTCACGGCTTGTAGCAGCACGGAGGGATTGTGGAAAAATGGCCTCTGACACGTCCTCATCTCATGCACCAGGATGTGTGGTGCTTTCCCTCAATTACTGAGATCCCCTGTGTGTTTGTGCTCATCAACAGCTTTGTATCATGCTGATTGATTTATTAGCCAGTTGTTGTCTAGCTTTGACTCTTCCTTTGTCCACTTGTTGATAAACTCTAAATGCAAATATCCAGTCTGCTGTCTTAAAAAAGACTTATACGCTCATGTTCAGGTGAATATCAGTATGTAGTGTCTCTACTTTAAAGAGTCCTCTCCTGCTGATGTTCAGGTGTATATCAGCATGTAGTGTCTCTACTTTAAAGAGTCCTCTCCTGCTGATGTTCAGGTGTATATCAGTATGTAGTGTCTCTACTTTAAAGAGTCCTCTCCTGCTGATGTTCAGGTGTATATCAGTATGTAGTGTCTCTACTTTAAAGAGTCCTCTCCTGCTGATGTTCAGGTGTATATCAGTATGTAGTGTCTCTACTTTAAAGAGTCCTCTCCTGCTGATGTTCAGGTGTGTATCAGTATGTAGTGTCTCTACTTTAAAGAGTCCTCTCCTGCTGATGTTCAGGTGTATATCAGTATGTAGTGTCTCTACTTTAAAGAGTCCTCTCCTGCTGATGTTCAGGTGTATATCAGTATGTAGTGTCTCTACTTTAAAGAGTCCTCTCTGCTGATGTTCAGGTGTATTTCAGTATGTAGTGTCTCTACTTTAAAGAGTCCTCTCTGCTGATGTTCAGGTGTATATCAGTATGTAGTGTCTCTACTTTAAAGAGTCCTCTCTGCTGATGTTCAGGTGTATATCAGCATGTAGTGTCTCTACTTTAAAGAGTCCTCTCCTGCTGATGTTCAGGTGTATATCAGCATGTAGTGTCTCTACTTTAAAGAGACCTCTCCTGCTGATGATCAGGTGTATATCAGCATGTAGTGTCTCTACTTTAAAGAGTCCTCTCCTGCTGATGTTCAGGTGTATATCAGTATGTAGTGTCTCTACTTTAAAGAGTCCTCTCCTGCTGATGTTCAGGTGTATATCAGTATGTAGTGTCTCTACTTTAAAGAGTCCTCTCCTGCTGATGTTCAGGTGTATATCAGTATGTAGTGTCTCTACTTTAAAGAGTCCTCTCTGCTGATGTTCAGGTGTATATCAGCATGTAGTGTCTCTACTTTAAAGAGTCCTCTCCTGCTGATGTTCAGGTGTATATCAGCATGTAGTGTCTCTACTTTAAAGAGTCTTCTCCTGCTGATGTTCAGGTGTATATCAGCATGTAGTGTCTCTACTTTAAAGAGTCCTCTCCTGCTGATGATCAGGTGTATATCAGCATGTAGTGTCTCTACTTTAAAGAGTCCTCTCCTGCTGATGTTCAGGTGTATATCAGTATGTAGTGTCTCTACTTTAAAGAGTCCTCTCCTGCTGATGTTCAGGTGTATATCAGTATGTAGTGTCTCTACTTTAAAGAGTCCTCTTCTGCTGATGTTCAGGTGTATATCAGTATGTAGTGTCTCTACTTTAAAGAGTCCTCTCCTGCTGATGTTCAGGTGTATATCAGTATGTGGTGTCCTCTACTTTAAAGAGTCCTCTCCTGCTGATGTTCAGGTGTATATCAGTATGTAGTGTCTCTACTTTAAAGAGTCCTCTCCTGCTGATGCTCAGGTGTATATCAGTATGTAGTGTCTCTACTTTAAAGAGTCCTCTCCTGCTGATGTTCAGGTGTATATCAGTATATAGTGTCTCTACTTTAAAGAGTCCTCTCCTGCTGATGTTCAGGTGTATATCAGTATGTAGTGTCTCTCCTTTAAAGAGTCCTCTCCTGCTGATGTTCAGGTGTATATCAGTATGTAGTGTCTCTACTTTAAAGAGTCCTCTCCTGCTGATGTTCAGGTGTATATCAGTAGTAGTGTCTCTACTTTAAAGAGTCCTCTCCTGCTGATGTTCAGGTGTATATCAGTATATAGTGTCTCTACTTTAAAGAGTCCTCTCCTGCTGATGTTCAGGTGTATATCAGTATGTAGTGTCTCTACTTTAAAGAGTCCTCTCCTGCTGATGTTCAGGTGTATATCAGTATGTAGTGCCTCTACTTTAAAGAGTCCTCTCCTGCTGATGTTCAGGTGTATATCAGTATGTAGTGTCTCTACTTTAAAGAGTCCTCTCCTGCTGATGTTCAGGTGTATATCAGTATGTAGTGCCTCTACTTTAAAGAGTCCTCTCCTGCTGATGTTCAGGTGTATATCAGTATGTAGTGTCTCTCCATGTCTCCATGCTTTAATGTTAACAACACTCTTTATTTCTCTCATACTGTCTGTGCTGCTGCACCTCTTTTCACCCTCTGTCTGAAACCAGAGCCCAGTCTGCTCTGATTGGTTAGCTGGCCGGCTCTATTGTCATTGATCAACCGCTTAGAGATGACAGATAGATAGATATTGTGCTTCTGCGATAAAACTACAAATGATATTCATTTTGCAGCTCTAATAAGTCCGCACAACCTCTCCTCCTCGATCCTCACCATACCTCCAGGCTTCACTTCTGCTTTTAATTTGAAAGACGAGTGTGTTCTTGTTTAATAAGTCACAGAAGCACTGTGGTGTTAATTATCTCCAGTCGCTAGTATTTCCAGCCAACACTCTAATTGCAGGAACAATTGGTTATAACAGCCCACAACAAAGTATTAATTAAGCCAACAAACACAGCTCTGATTCCACAACAGAGAGCCATTTGAACTGGAAAATGTTTTTTCCCCCGAGACAGGCAACTATTGTTCTGCTAATCTTCAGATGGGAAAGCAAAGGTCCCTGGACCAATAACAGGCAGCTACTTAGTATTTAGTTCACTGAGGCATTTGAAATTTGGAAAGGGATATAATTA